TCTATGCATTAAATGCCACCTCATTTCATGTGCAAATGAAGCAATCTAACTGCAGTGCAGATAAATGAGTCCCTGCTTCTTTTATTCTTGAAACGACCCTTGAACACTCCAGGATTTTGAACTGAAATATCTCCGCTTTTTTTTTTTTTTTTTTCAAAGTCCCTGACCGTCCAAGGCTTTTCCAAGACCCACTTTCTCCACACTGCAGCACAGCTCAGAAATGAAGGAAACAGCAGCAATGACTCTACTGTATTTACACTCTTTCATCATAGATGCTTAACAGTGCTCATGGCAACCCAGAGGCAAACAAACATCTAATTCATTCTGACACTGGTGCTTATTTTAGGCTGCTAACAGGGGCTGTTTGATATGGAATATTAATCATTTTCAGCCATGCATGAAAACATAATTCACCCCCAGATAAGGTCAAACAGAAGAACTACATGTTGTTTTAATCGTATCTTTCACACTATTTTTATTTAGGAGGTGTTGTCATCAAACTGGCTTGGCAGGCAAGGCTCTCTCTGCTTAAGCGATTTTATGAACATGTGAAAATAAAAATGCAAATGCAAAAGAGCAGAGTGCTGGTGTGTGACGCCCTCACACAGGCCACGTGTGGCGCTTCTCTCCAGATCTGCTGGTCTGAGGAGAATAAATGTAAGGAGAACACCACAAAGACAGAGCAAAGTGGGAAGTAGTGTATTTGTATGCGTCAGCCTCACTCAGTTTATGTATGAAATTAACATTTTTGTGTTAAAGTGGTGTAAATATTGTGGTGGGCAGAAAGGATTAAATTAAAGAGTGTTAATAGGATTTTTTGTTGAGGGAAGAAAATTGTGTTTAGGGATTTAGTGAGTTACTTCTTTTGTTAAGAACATTTCGCAGGGCGTCAGATGAAGTGTTGCTGCAGTGGGACAGATGCTGCTCACAATGTTCTCACACAACACACCTCATAGATGCTCCCTTCATTTCTTTCACTCATAATCTAACACTCTGAGTCATCTGTCTCTTTCCTGCTTGAACACTTTCAAAATTTGACCGTTTTTATTCAGTTGATGGCCCATTGAGAGGCCGACTGAAGAGTCTCTCAGTATGACTCGTATGAGTACGATTCACTCTGCCTGTCAAGCATTTTATCTGAATAGATGAACCCAAATGTCTGTTTCCTGGGAACTATCCTCCTGTAAAAAATGAGCCCATAGGTCATTTGTGCAGCAGGTTATTGTGATTGAAATTCTTGTGAGCTGAAGAAAACACGATGACCAGGAGTTCAGAAGTATTCATTGAAAGCTGACATGCTGCAGAGAAAGTGATGAGCAGTACAATGACAGCAGGTGAAGCGTAGTAGTGCCACACCAAGTTCTGAAGATGTCTTGTTTGACAGTGGGTCTATGATACCAGGTATCACATGGTTGCAACATCTTACCACACCTTCCTCTAAATAAGGTTAAACGTTATCCTAAACATTCATGTGTGAAGATGCTATTGGACAAGCTCACCCCTGACAACAACTAGATTTGAAGAATATTTTCCTTGTAAACCCTATAAGACTCTGGGTACCCTGGCTAGGGGTGATAGCGGTGGCTCCATCTAGACACAAGCAGTCATAATAGAAGCACAATGTGAAGGTTGTTATGGCCTGAACTCTGAGTGTTACTGAGGTTTAGGAAAACAAGAGGAACACTGGAGTGAGAAAAATCTCTTTCACAGTTAGTATGATCCATAGGTATATTTTGTTGCTAGGCGACATCTAGTGGTCGTAGTAACGATGAGACAGGAGACGTAGTATAAAGAGAGACAAAGTCCACGTCAGGAGGAGGCTGTGGTGGATGGATGAATGTGACACAAGAGAGCGGTGTTTAATTCCCATGTGAAACCAGCAGTTTATGTTAACCACCTTGTTATTATTGTAACCATGACAACAAAGATTGTCTAATGTTGAGGAAGTACTTATTTTAACCCAAACCATGATCTTTTCCTAAAACTAACCAAGCCATGATGTTACTGTAGTAGCCATGGCAACAAAGGTAGGGTACAACATTCTTGGTACAGTCCGCTTGTTTATTGTTGTAACCATGACAACCAAGGTCTAGTATTCCTTATATTTCAGGAGACACTGCTCTGGGTCGTATCGGAGGGTTGGTTCTTGAGGTTGGAGGACTTGTTGGTTTCCTGTTACCATGGCATCAATTCCACGCACTGTCTACAGTCCATTCTGAATATCAATCTGTGCTGCAAATAGAAACGATGATATGATGTTGATATCATGCTGAGTGTGGTGCACCCTCACTGAACAGATCACTGATGGGACTGTACCTTCAGTTATGGCAGCTGTGTGTTTGATGGACTGTCCTCACCACCGGTCGTTTCTTTGAACCTTTATCATGAAATGCTTTGCATCATATCTTCAACACTAGTTTATTTCTAACCATTAACAAGGTTGTCTCCAAACCTCTACCAACCAGAGAGTGAAAGTTCACTCTCGACCTTGGAAAAAAGTTTGAACAAATCTTCTTTTTCCTGATCTTTCAATTGTACCTTATGTTCTTGCCACGGAAATACATCATTTGTTATTAAAGTTACCCTCAGTCAATCTGCTTGGTTAAGTTTTAACCAAGCTTGAATTGAACTCAGCCTTGGCCAGGAGAGGAAGACGGGATAAGTTCCATATGAGTCCACTCTGCAACTATTCTTTGTGTTTAACAAAGCAGTGACAGCGTCACGCGGCTGACGGGGTTCAAGATCAGAAAGCGTCAGATAACCAAAACTGAAAAAAATCTTCCACACAATGACATAATTAAGGTTCGCCTGCAGACACATGGATCTCAGAGGGTTTTAGATGACTGTAACAAACTGAATGAAGATAATAACAGTTGTGGCACAGTTTCACACCAATATTGGCACCAAATATCAGTCACACACTCAGAGTCTTTGAGCACCTCCCAAAACGTGACTTTGTGCATTTCACTCACTGTGGAATGAAAAATTAAGACTTGAGTTACTAAATGAGGACACTGAGGGACGATTAGATGAATGGACAGCTGTTCTGACGCCTCGCCGGAGGCTCAGAGCTTAAAATACTTGCCGTGTGATAACGGCCTCATGCTGCTTCAACTAATGTTAGACATTTACTCGGCCCTCCTGCAAGAAAAAAAGGACCCGCAAACCGTCGCTGAACAATCCGCTCCACCACACTGAATCTTCATCCTCCTCCTCTGTCAGCGCTGTTTGCTTGCATCAGGCGTAAAGTGTACACAAGCAGGAAAGTTTGTGTCTCATGCGTGAAGATGTTTCCTGAGTTTTGTGTTCGAAACGAGACACGCCGCAGAGAGTGTTCAGTTCTTGAGGGTATTAATTCAGATGCATAAATCATGAAGAAGGCCGGTCCCATTGTTCTCCGTTCCCCAAGTACACACCACCAGCCCCTACCCCGTAGCTATCAACATCCCCTCCCCCCTCCGTCTCCAACTCTTCCTCCCTCCCCGGCTCACTCTGTTGCGCAGATTCGACGGAGCTGAAAATATATCCCTGGGCTTTGGCGTTGGGGAGGCAGAGGGAGACAGGGCTTGTCAGAGGAAGAGGAGGGAGAGGGAGGGGGGCGGGGCAGGGGGGGGTTCTATATGTCACTGATAAAGACAGTGCATCTTTCTCTCCGCCCCGTCGCCATACCTGTCAAGTGACCCGCCCCGCTGCACGCATCAGCCCCACGTCCCACACATTCGTACGCCGTCTCTCACCCTTTATTTCCACTGCTGTCACCTCCTTCCTCACGTTTCATTGGAACAGAGGATGGAATGTCTTCTCCTCTTCCTCCTCTTTTCATCCCTTATCATCATGCCTGTCTCCTTTGTTAGAGACAGTTTGTCTTATTTCCTTTTTTTGAACTGCTCTTTCTCTACCTTTCCCTTTGCTTCCTCCCTAATCTTCTTCCTCTGGTGACAACTCCTCCTGCCCCCCCCCCCCCATGTAAAAAGCCTTTTTCTTGAGTGATGGTCTCGAAGGTGTTGATTATGAAAATTATGAAGATTACTGGAAAAATGTTTTGTGGACTGATGAGAATAAGGTTGAATTGTTTGGCAAGAACATGCAGCTCTATGTGTGGTGTGAAAGGTCAAGGTCTCTTCCAGGATCGTGTCAGGGCGTCTGTCCACCTGCTGAAGCTCAGGATAAGCTGCTGATGAAAGTAAATCCACGTTCTGGAGTGGTCCAGTCACAGTCCAGACCTTAATCCAGCAGAGACGCTGTGGACGGAGCTCAGAGAGCCGCTCACACTATACATCCTGAGGATCTGTCTGACTGAAGCAGCTTTCAATCTGGTGCCAAATTTGAGACCTTAAGTCAGCTAAAAACACCTGGAGGCAAATTTATGATTTTGACCGATATAAAAACTAAAATCGACTTCACTTGACCCAAAGTTATATTATTGCTATTTTTATTTTGCTAATTACTATCAATTCACTCATCAGGCTGCCAGAGATCATTGTCTATCTACCTGTAACACATGACTCCCATGGATGCAGGTGATTGGCTTACACTAACACATGCTCATCAAACCGCTGCTGATGTCCGCCATAAAGTTCCTCTGTGGTCAGATGGAGCAGAAGGAGAGACACTGACTTTAACAGTCTGCAAATCCCCACCTCTCTCTCTGAAAGCATGATTTAAAAAGTAAACACAATTCCTTACTTGAAGCCTCATTTATCATGTCATGACTTGGAGATGTAATGTTGCAGCGTTGATTTTATTGTGTCTGCCACCCAACACCGAGACAGGTATAATTATAGGTGTTCAGTGAAATTACGTCTGTCAGTAGGGGGACATTGAACGAGGCAGGCACAATGCAAATTAAATCAATGGCATCAAGCCGCGGGCTGTGAAACAGGAGCGCTTGGGTCTGCTCCAGAGAGCCCGGTCACCATGGTTTGCAGTGAAATAAGGGCCGTTTTGTAGATCATGTTGCATTGATCTGAACACTTTGTCCTGCTCCGTTTCATCTCCAGAAAAAGAGACTTTCCTGGAGCCGTTTGTGCTGAAGGACCTGCTGCCGTCGTCGCTGGGAAGTTACTACCGCTACACCGGCTCCCTGACCACGCCGCCCTGCAGCAAGGTGGTGGAGTGGATCATCTTCAGCAGACCTATCTACGTCTCATACAAACAGGTGAGATACACCTAGACTGGTGGAGGTCACGTGTGTGCAGCCATATGAAGACTGAAATATCAAGGTCACAAGTGAAAAATGTAAAATATAAAACTATCATTGTCATCTTGAGATTTAAAGTCCTTACACTGAAATCACAAATATCTTGTGATCAGGACATGTTGGGAATGTTTTATTATTTCAGAGTAAATAGGCTTCCATGTTTCATCGTCCGGGAGAAGTCACAGCACGTTCCTCCGAGCATCAGAAACACTGTTTGTCATCTCTAGGATGTGAAATAATGACGTCTCCATGACAAACACACAGTTTAGATTAATTTGATCATTAAATCATGATCATAAAATAACAAGCCACAGTGACGTGTGTATTCAGGTTCACACTGACAACTTCAAAACAAAAACGAGTAAGATAGAATAAAAAGCAAAATCCCCCCAGACTCACATCAAACTTTATTTCCAGGCTTTGTAATTTAAGACAAATACACAGTGGTCTGTCTATTAATTATCCTGCCACTGTGTTTCCCTGGAGGAAAGAGCAGGAACTTTATTTTTCCTCTTCACACTTAAGCATCGGTGATGACTCTCAGAAGAACACCTGTGTCTTTTCCCTGAACTCTGTGCTGTTCTGAGGTCTCGTCTGAACATTTGCTTTTACACATGTTGGTCTTTTTTGCTGCTTAGTCTTAAGGTGGTTTGATGAGTTTGTGACACAGGCATCTCCTCAAACAAACCTTGATCTTTGAGGTCCTGCCTTCATGTTTTGTTTTATTTAACTACTATTGGTTCTTAAAGATTCAGACTTTTGTTATAAAGCCCAATGATACTGTCACATTCTCACATTTTCTCTAAATAAAACTATTATTTATCATTTATTTATTTATGACCACATTATTACTTACCTATTTAAGTTATTTTATTTTTATTTACTACATTTATCATTTACTATTATTTCTAATTTATTTATTACCACATTATTTTATTTATTACCACATCATTATTTACTGTTTTTACTTATTTTATTTTATTTACTATGTTTTGTGCATAAATCTATGAACATGTTGGACAAGCGTAAAGCCGACTGTGTCTCTTTAATTGACTCCTCAGCTTGTTTCAGTCTTTCAGTCTAAACAGATGTGAGAGCTGTTTCTGTGACGACTTGGCTTCAGTGGCAGGATGACAGAGTTCGACTGCTCTCTGACTCCATGTTTAAATCACTGTGGACAAAGCTGTCCATCACTGCACCCACTCAGTGTTGTGTTAGACTCAGGACACATCTATAACGTTTGTGCTCCGTAATTGTTTTTTGTTTTTTTGTTAACAGCTGGTCTGTTTATTTCTCTGATGTTTTCTAATGATTCTTTGAGGTGTTATTACAGGGCAACACTTACACAACAAAAGAAAACTTATTTTGAGTTTGTGTCCATTCTAACCAATTTTTCAAAATCCTGCCGGAAGGTCAGCGAATTAGTGGCTAGTTGCAGGTTGTGCAGGGGCTATGTAGAGGGTTATGTAGCACAGTGGTTTCTGTGAGTTTAAATTAATCTGGATGGTGCAAAACTATTAAAACAACGTCGTCCATTTCAAACTGTAGTTTAGTTCTCTCTACTAAAATTCATACTGTGGTGAGTATTGCAAATCCCCCAAAATAGAAAGGAGCAAGCAAAGTTTATTTATACAGTACTTTTCACAGACACCAGTCACAAAGTGCTTCACAATCAAATTAATAAAAATCAAATGAAAAATTAAAATCAAATACATCAATAAAAAACTAAATTATTAACACCAGATATACAAGAGGAAAAACACATGTGGGACACTGGTTAAAAGCAGAAGATGGTTTTCGGTTGCTCAGAGTCCGAGGATCTCAAACTTAGTGGAAGACTATTCCAGAGCTTAGGAGCTGTCAACTGGAAGACACAGTCACCCCGGATCTTAAAAACTCAAGTCAAGTTCATTTTTATTTGTATAGCACCAATTCACAACATACATTATCTCAATGCACTTTCCAAATAGAGCAGGTCTAGACCTTCTCTTTATAATATTATTTACAGAGACCCAACAATTCCCACCAAGAGCAGCACTAGGCGACAGTGGCAAGGAAAGACTTGCTTTTAAGAGACAGAAACCTCAAGCAGAACCGGACTCAGGGTGGGCGGGGCCATCTGCCTCCACCTGTTTGGTTTGGAGAGATAGAGAGAGAGGGAGAGAGAGAGCAGGAGAGAGCACAGAGGAAAAGAATAAGAACATGCAACGATAGCAATATTAATAATAGAGACAGTGGCGGCAGTAACAGAGATAGTAATGTAATGGCGACTGTAGTGCTCATACTGATAAAAGTAGTAATGACAGCTAATAACATTAACAATTATCGTTATTGAATCTTAGCAGGTTGTAGGTGGTTTGCAGTTGCAGATCCAGACTCTACAGCTGCAGCTCTGGGAGGACCTGTGGAGAGGAACAGGGAGGAGATAGATAAGGATGGAGAGTGGAGGACCTAAGAGCTCGGCTCGTGGTGTGGGGGTGAAGGAGACCTGTGGTGTAGTCTGGGACCGGGCCATGTAGAGCTCTGAAAGTGACCACTAACATTTTAAAATTCTAAAATGAACAGTAAGACAGTGCAGAGATGTTATATGTGAGCGTCTGCTTGACTGTGTTAAAAGCCTGACAGCAGCATTTTGGGCTACGTTCCACACTACTACGTTTTCATTTTAAAATAAAAACTTAAAAACTATTTCCGTCCAAACAACACACCTGAAAAAACTGCAGTTCTTCTCTGCAGTTGGTTAGTTACAGTAAATCCTCTGAAGGAGGAACAGCAAAGACAGTTGTAGCATTAAAATACAGAATTTAACTGAACAACAGCTGCAAAGACAACAAGGTCAGTAACACTGTGATTCATTATCATGTTGTATTCACCACTGGTAGCCCCCGCTGATGAGAGCCAATCAGGAGAGACTGTGGGTGTCTACATCATCGATTCCAAAGGTCTCAGTTTCTGTCCGTCCAGACTACAACACAACCTCAGAGTTTTCAAAATAAAACAGGGCCAGCAGAGTTTCTGAAAGTCTCCGTGTTCGGGGCTCAAAAACTCTGGAGTCGTGTGGAAGTCATAAGGAAACGTAGGAAAAGAGCTGGGTTTTAAAATTAAAATGCAGTAGTGTGGGCGTAGCCTCGGACGGTTAGTAAACGCTGTAGGGAAGACAGACAGGTAAACAGAGTTACAATAATCCAGTCGTGATGAGATTCCAGAAACACAACTAACAGGAGTGCTCATACAATTCACACAACCTGTCCTCTACAGATTTTGACCTCGGAGATTTCTTTTTTAGTTTTAATTGAAAATTCAGAATTTCCCTCGTGACACATAAATCCAGTGGTACATGTCTGACCTCTGAATTACATAAAAAAAAAAAAACATTTTCATATTTGCCTGCATGTTTCCAGTGGATTTCTTTTGTCTTGAACCTGAATACCTGAGAGTAAACTGTTCTCTTGATGTGGAGCCAGCTGTGTTTTCATGTTCATTGTCATTTAAACAGAAGAGCAGCTTCAGTGTGTTTCAGTGTCTGTGAATAAGGATCTGTGGAAAAAGTTTTCTTGCTCTCATATTCCCTCCCCCAATCCAAAGAACAGTTGGCAGACTCATCCCCTAATGAGACCAAATGAGTTTGCTTAAGAGCAGCAGTGGAGCAAGCCAAATGTGGATGAAGTATTGGCTTCTCCGCCCTGAAGTGAGAGGAGCAGGTCAATGTAAAGGCGGCAGTGAGAGAATGTTACAAAGACTGATGAGGTGGAGTGAGGATGATAAAGAAGGCAGCAGAGACTGGGAGACAGATCCAAAGAGAGAGTTACATTCTTTAACCATATCTCCTACAACCAGAAAATAATGTAATAAACTTAGTATCAGTAAGTAAGTATATTTAGTCTGAACGACAGACAGAAGCCCAAAGAGTTTGAATTCACAGCTGATATTAAGAAGAGAAGTTGTAAATCCTCATTAGAGACGACAGAACCAGTTCATGTTTAGTATTTTCAAGATGATGAAGTCGTCCAAATGGTTAATTTTCTGTCCTCAAAGCCTGTATTCAGAAACTGAGCCTTAAAACCAGCCATCAGGACTTTCTGAGTCAAGCCCCGCCCACCTGGACCCACCATCCAACCTTGAAGGATTTGGTTTCTCTGAGTGTTTACCTGAACTCTGCTATATTTTTACTGGATCACTCAGAAAACAGTCAGCCAATCAGAGGAGAGGTCCAAAGCCTCCTCTCTTCTGATTGGCCGACCGACCACTCTCCTGTGATACAGGAATATGTCACAGGTGAGCGGTATTCGATTCCTATGTGATTATATTCTAACCATGACAACAAAGACCGTGTAATGTTGAGGAAGTACTTGTTTTAACCCAAATGACAATCTTTTCCTTAACCAACCAAGCCATGACTAGTATTATAGTATCCATGGCGACAAAGGTAGGTAGGAGTGTTTATTATTGTAAGCATGACAGCTGAGGTCCAGTACGCATGCCACAATAGAGGCACTATTTCAGGAGACACTTCTATGGGTTGTATCAGAGTGTTGGTTATTCTGGTTGGAGGACTGGTTGTTATTTAAACCCAAACCATCATCTTTTCCAAAACCTTACTAAGTAGTTTGATCGTTTATTAATTAACCATGGTGATGAAGGTCCAGTACAGCTGAGGGGCAGTATGTCAGAGATACTCCTCCAGGTCGAATCAGGATCAGGAGTGGAACAAACAACCTGCATGGTTGCTCATGTTGTTGGACTGCACAGCTACATGTCATCCATGCTTGTAGCCCATTTTATGTTGGTATTTTTTATGGATGTAGATATGTAGTTAACTAGAGGAAGATGGTGTCATTATTCTTAATTTAAATGCTGAACCCAGTTGAAAAAGTCAACAATGAGCCCGACACCATACCTGTTTGAATCATTCACATTTCTATAACCAAGCAACTCAGCACACTCCTTTTGTTCTCATC